GCGATAAACAGTCAGCACCCCATCGAGACTAAAATAACGGGACCGATTCGGACCGATATATTCCCGAGGACCGATCGCCGTTCGCTCACAGCAACTCCTTCAATAGTCCTTACCTTAAGTGAATCAGTTCGAAAACACACCAACTCGGAAAAAAAAAAATTGTTCAAAGACACATGTGAAAGCTTTGAAAAATATTAAATTTGACGCGGAACCACCTTAGTATCTGCAAAACACACACAATGTATTTTCCTGCGATGCACATTTTTTTTCATCAATTTAAGTGAGCATAATCCATGCAGAGCGTGAAAACATTTCAAAATCATGAGTTGAAAAATGCTGACTCAGTTTAAATATTAGAGCCTAACACAGATCAGAGCAGCGTGCTGCCAGCGCTAAACGCACTGGCGCCTACAAACCTAAGGGGATACTTCACGCATTGCGTAATGCTTGAAGTATCCACTTAGGTTTGTAGGCGCAAATGCGCCGGCCACGCAACGGCGTGTCTCGGCGTCTCAAGCAACTATTTTAAAAAAACTCATCAAGTCCTAGCATCCACATTTCATAATATTTAGCATGATTATCGAATTTCAGCTTGTTTCCCGCTGTATGGAGATTTTCAGCTTTATGCTGAATAGAATCAGTGAGTTCGAAAACACACCAACTCGGAAAAAAAAAATTGTTCAGGAAACACCTAAAACTGCGCAGCGGGCGAAGAAGTTAGTTTAAGAAAAACCTTTTAGGTGCCAAAGGACCAGTACTTAGAGACTTCGTGAAGCACCAAGTTGAAATCGATACACCATGTTTGATGACAGAGAATCAAGCGTTTACAAATTTCCGAGTCGGTGTGTTTTCGTTCTCACCGACTTTCAGATGCTGATTTTTCATAGTCTGCCCCAGAAAAATGTATATTTTTCGACCTGAATAACGCTCATATAACTTGTTGGTACAAGGTATACTGAACCGAAAAAAGAAAACCGCAAAATCGGATTGTCACCCGTTTCCCTTGAAATGGCCAAAAATTGGTATTTCCAATGAAATACTTCGATTTTTCCCTTTTCTCGTCGCTGTTTCGAGCACTTCCGATTGCAATTTCGAAATTTCCTTTTCCATGCAGATGCTTCTATCCATAAGTTTTACTAAACCGTAAAAAAGTGAAAATCGAAAAAAACCCGCGTTGGCGTGTTTTCGAACTCACTGATTCAATTTTAAGGGGTGCCTCTGGAAGTAAATTTCGCGAAGGATTCACTTTCAGAATCTCAAAGTTTTGAATTAACGGAGTTATATAAGCGGACAATGTTTCCAAATTTTGTCCGACCTCTCCTACTGACTCGATCTACTGTGCGACGAGCCAGATGCTACCTTTATAAAATCGGGACGCTTCAGGTTAGGGTGAATCCACGCATGAAGTGAAGGAATTTTGAGGTAGGTATCGAGTACATTTGGATTATATATTGCAGTAAGGTACCACAATCTCTGGCTCCTCCATAAAAGCACCTTTCTCCCTAGGGAAACCGATGATCCATATGTCATTTCTAAAAGGAGCCAGAAATAGTGGTTTTTATTGCAAAATGTGGTCCATTTAAAATACTGGTTCCGTTCTGAGGGAGCAGGAGTATTGATAAGGACCGTTTTTGAGGCCACACTGAAAAAAATGTTCGTGAGTTAATATTTTGATTTAAAGCGTGGTTTCTTGTCGAGAAAATTTGGTTTTTTTGAGTTAAAACCGTGGGGATGTAACTTAAAATCAGTTCTTTTAGGTGAAAGAAACGTTGTTTTGTATTCGGTTTTTCAATTTGAACTTAACGATAACAAAATGATGTTTTTTTTACTCAAAAAGAAACTGATGTTGAGTTAGATCCGCACAGATTTAACTCGGGGGGGGGGGGGGAGGATTGTCGACAAGTAACGACGCTTTAAGTCAAAATAATATCGGAAGTAAAAATTTTTTCAGTATACTCAGAATTTCCTGAATTCTATGATTTTTTGCTCATTTCATGTCTACATTTTACGGATTGCATCATGATTTGCACATTAAAGGTCCTTATTTTACGGAATGCATCAATATTCGCTCATATTCGGTCTCTTTTTGGGTCAAATACTTAGACGGAAATAGCCAATTTCGGTTAAAAAATAAAGATGCGAGTTTTGCTGATTTGCAGTCGAATGCCGAAAAATCCGCATTTTCGCCGGAATCGGCGTTCAAAACTTCAAATCTATGATTAGTTGGAGGGAAATTATATTTTGTCGAAATTCGGATAAATTTGTAAGTAATATAGTTGGTGATGTGAGCTCACTGGGGAGTTGTCATGCAGAGAAAGATTCAGAGACATTTGGGTCCTGAATCATTGGAATTGCATCATGCTGTAACAATCATAATTTTAAAAATCTGGAGAGCAACCAAAAACTGTTCCTTTCACTGCTATTCTCAGCTAGATACTAAAATGTTTACTCATTTCCTTATACGACATTTGTAGAACCATTTTTCATCAATCAATTATCTCTCTTACGCACACATGAAACGGCTCCTCATAAAAGTTATTATGAAAGATAGTACTATTACTCACTTTACTACTTACTACACTATTAAATTACTTTATTGTGACACTGTTTGAAAACATCCAGCATCCTCTTCAATCTCTCTTTTATAGGAGTAGCACTCACCAGCTTTTAACAACCAGCGGGGGTACATACTTATCATCGCTGCTGTAAACACGATGGAAACCAAAACGCCTTCAATTTTTTGAATGCAACACGGTCATCCGTCGAACACGAATAGTTGTAGCCAGGCGCCTTGTGTTGGGAGAGGAGAAATTCAAACGAGTTTTGGGAGGTTAATACGTGGTCTGTCCGGAAAGTATCAGGACTTTTTGATTATCTCGGAATGTAATGCATATAATGAGCTGAAACTTGGGTTGGACTTTGCCAATGTCCATTCCAATGCAGCCACACAATCGGGCTTTCACACCTTTAATCATTCGATTGCAATCAACTGATCAAAGTGTGTGTGTCAAGTGCTATCGTCGCGTTTTTTATTTTTCGTGAAATGACCGAGCGTGAAGATCAGAGAATTTGTATTAAATTTTGCTTTAATCGAGAAAAAACTGCCAAGGAGAACATGGAAATGATTCGGAAAGCTTTTGGCACTGATTCTATGAGCAAGAGCAATATTTATGAGTGATATGATCGCTTTGAATCGGGTCGTGAAACAGTCGCTAGTGATCCGCGGTCCGGGAGACCTTCGTCGACGAATTCTCCCGATAATGTGGAAAAAGTTCGGGAAACTATTGCCCAAGACAGTCGGTTAACCATGCGGGAACTGGAAAAGCAGCTAAATATCCCGAGGACCGTCGTTGCGGAAATTTTAACTGAAAAACTCGGGCTCCGTAGAGTGGCAGCGAAATTTGTGCCAACGCTCCGGCTCATCCTCCTGTCTTGTGCAACAGTTTTTGGGCAAAGCTCGGTATTCCTCTGGTTCCACATCCTCCATACAGTCCAGACATAGCTCCTTGCGACTTCTGGCTGTTCTCAAAGATGAAATCTCCAATGAAAGGGACTCGATTTGACTCCATCAATGACCCAAAAGAGAATACGACGAGAGCGCTGAAGGACATCCCAAAGGAGTGCTTTTTGGACTGTTTTGAACAGCTCAAAAATCGCTGGAACAAGTGCATTGTGTCTTACGGAGAGTACTTCGAAGGAGATTAAAGCCACAATGTCATAGGTAAGCTCGATTTCTCAAAATCTAAAAAGTCCTGATACTTCCCGGACAGACCACGTAATTGGTGTTAATGCTTGAGAATTTTACATCCTCAAGCATGGATGTGAACATCCTCTTTCGGCCTGTTCCTAACACGTCTATGGATTTCTAAACCGAAACAATGACTTAACATTCTGGATGTAAAAAAGTGTGTGCTAAATTAACCGCCGCAGCAGTTACTGTAGCAATGTCAAGATGTAAAACTAACTGATGTGGAGGTTAATTCAGTGTTTTGTGAGTTGTCGCACACTTTTTTACATCAAGAATGTTAAGTCAGCATCCTTTTTTCCGTGCATGTAGATTTATCAGAATGAGAGGAATAAAAACAGCAAAAAACACGAAAAAAGGACAGAAGAGTCTTGTTACTCTGCCGTGCTACGTAAAAACGTCGTATGGGCATCCGAATGTTGCCAAATTTTCTCTCAGAAAATATTTATTTTCGAGGAAAGTTATGAATATTTTACCTTGAAATTGTCAGACCTTTTAGATTAAAGTACGAAAAAAATCCTTCGAAAAATCGGATGCAAAATCTTCACAAATTCTCCTGCAAATTTTTGATTTTCCGGAAAAATGGCAATGTCTAGGAGCTTAGCTACACGGCATTCTTCCATACCACGGTAGGACTATAGAGTCCAAATGTAAACAATTGATATTGCATGGAATAAAATGGATTGCTGATTTAACAGTTAAATTGTTCCGATAAAAATGTCCGAAAATATGTCCGACATGTTTCAAAAGTACATTTTACAAAAGTGGATGGCTTTTATTAGTATAGCATTTCGACGGCACAAGTCCGCGATCACATATCTCGTTTTCTGTGTCTGAAAATTTCCGCCTCTATGTTATTTTTAAAGGAGGAAAATTTGGCATCATTCCTCGAAGTTTATGCAGAATTTTCTTCGCACGGAGAAGAAAAATCACAGCGGTTTTAAAGAACTGCCGGTGAGTATAGTTTTCCGTTTAAAAAATAAAGTATGACAGGAAGTCTGCGACGTCGCAATCTGAGTTACGTGATTGCCGACATACACCGTCAATTTACCATTTTTTCATTGTAAAATCTCCATTAAGAATGCCGCACACTTTTTTAACTACAAATTTTGTTTTCAGCAATTTAATTTTTCCCGTGTGGTTTTAAAAAGAAGCAAATTCTTTCCGTGGACTACCTAGTATCGTCATGCTGGGAACAAGTTTCACAAATCGATGCCCCCTTTTCTCATCATACCGATGTGTCCGTGTGTTGCAGTGGTGAAGCACAAATACGAGGTGCAAGTTTACGACGAATACGTGATCAGCGGTAACACAGCTGTGCTCCGGTGCCGCGTCCCGAACCACGTCACGGAGTTCATCATGGTGACCTCATGGATTCAAGATGGCGACGTCAATATCTACCCCAATACCGACACAGGTACGTAAGTCGAGCGCTCGTTCTAAATCAATCTCCCTCTTCCTGTTTGTCATTCATGGAGAGATTTCGTTCACACGTGTCACATGCGGCAATCAGGTACCTTTGTACCGTGGGAGTTCGACGCAGTCTCGCATAATAATGAAAGTCGAGTAAAATTAGCTGCATTCAAATTTTTTTGTTTCACGGAAAAAATTGAATGTTGATTTAGCATTTATACTGTTCAAAAAATGTGCGACAAGTATCAGATGCTGATTTTACATTTAAAGAATGCTATTTCAACATTGAATTTGTTCGTCTAACAGTAGACGTGGTTACATACATACATAGGTCGCTTTATGGCACTCCCTCGCACTCTACGACTCCTAACCTCCACTGCTCTCTGTCAAACCACAAACCTCGGGGCATTGAGCACCTTTGCATTTCTGCTTCAATCCCCTCCCTCCAACCTCTCATTGGGCGCCCTCTACGTAGACGTAGACGTGGTTAACGTAGCATTTTTTTAAATTGTAAAATCAGCATTCATACTTGTCACACATTTTTTAACATTATAAATGCGAAAGCAACATTCACCTGTTTTCCGTGTTGTTGTTCAGGGAGAACCAGGTGAAAACAAACTCTTCATGCAACGGCGCAGTATTGACCGGTTACTGTGAACAACATGGCCGCCACTTGGCGCGGCGTGCTTTGAGATTTATCGATGGATCTGCCATTGGAACCTATAATACACAAACTGATTGTGGTAGATGCATGGGCCGTTTTTTTAGCGAACGTGCGTTGAAAATTCAGCATAAAGCTGAAAATCTCAATACATCTTGCAATGCCCCTAAACTACTCACTGAAAAAAAAAGTAGCTTGGATCAAGCATGATAATTCTTGAATTTGCCGCCAAGAATGTTCTTTATCTTGCTTTAAGCTGACTTTTTCTTGAATCAAGAAAAATAATGCTTGGGTTAAGCAAAAAAGTAGCTTATATTAACCAGCAAAATTCTTGATTTAAGAAGAAATACTTATTGGCGGCAAATTTAAGATTCTTTTTTTCCAGTGCTCTCCGAATGACCTCCGAACGCTAAACCCCATAGATCCCTAATGTACCTACCCACAAACCTTGGTTTCTGGGCGTGCATGGTGAAGCGGGATGGTAAATAATCCAACACTGGTACGGTTCTTTAAGGTTTACACTTTAATCCCACCTTCAAGAATAACTTAACACACTTCTACTTAGGTAACACTACGTAACTTAAAACACTCAAGCTCGCATCGTGGTTCCGTGACGGCACGACTTCCGTAACTTCCGTAACCACTCAGAGAGACTTGAGAACTTAGAGACTTGAGAACTTAAGACGCAACAAAGACATAAAGACGGAGTGCTCGTATCTAAAAGCACGGGGAAAAAGTGAAGCTAGGTTCGGCGCTGCGCGTTTGTGTGAGTGTGTAAATGAGCGCGGGAATCCATGGCGGCAAACGGAAATTTGATTTGAACTTGTCCTCTTGATTTTTCCTTATTTCTTCTTCGAAACGTGTTTTAAATGCTTAAAACGATTATATTAAGAAAGTTCGGTCTGCGTCCTAATATATTACACCTACTTTTGCTCGGTAACAGGCAGTAATCTCAGATAAAGTTAGTTTTTCTTCTGCTTATGGTGGTTCTGCAGGTTCAAACAGGCCGTTACAGTTCTAGATCTACGTTACTCCCAAATGAAATCAGTCGGTCGACGACGGACCGAAACTAACCTAAAGTTAATAAAATATGAGTGTGTACCTGAATTTGGGCAAAAATCAACCTAAAATACTTTGTTTCCGCAATTTTATTTATTAGTTCCCGCCCTACATTTGAATTCAAACTTGTCCCGATTTCGCCGCCAATCCTCTAGCCAATAGTAGAGGTGATTGAAAAGAAGCTCTAGAAGCTTCATTTTTTGCTTTTAGTGCTCCGTCTTTATGTCTTTGGCTCGTATCTAAAAGCACGGGGAAAAAGTGAAGCCTGGTTTGGCGCTGGGTGTTTTTGTGAGTGTGTAAATGAGCGCGGGAATCTATGGCGGCAAACGGAAATTTGATTTGAACTTGTCCTCTTGATTTTTCCACATTTCTTCTTCGAAACGTATTTTAAATGCCTAAAACGAATATATTAAGAAAGTTGGGACTGCGTCCTACTATAATACACCTACTTTTGCTAAGTAACAGGCAGTAATCTCAGATAAACTTAGTTTTACTTCTGCTCATGGTGGTTCTGCCGGTTCAAACAGGCCATTACAGTCGTTGATGACCGTTACTCCAAAATGAAATTAATCGCTCGACGACGGACCAAAACTAACCTAAAGTTATAAAAATGTGAGTGTGTAAGTGAATTTCGGCAAAAATCAACCTAAAATACTTTGTTTCCGCAATTTTATTAAGTTCCCGCCCTACATTTGAATTTCAAACTTGTCCCGATTTCGCCGCCAATCCTCTAGCCAATAGTAGAGGAAGTAGAGGTGATTGAAGAGAAGCTTCATTTTTTGCTTTTAGCGCTCCGTCTTTATGTCTTTGAGATGCAACGACTCAAACACTTAAAGAGATTGATAGATGTTGATACCACTTCGGCCCGTGGCGCAAAGGGGGAGCTTCCCAGACCGGCCGGAAGGAGGGGAGTGCCAGTGGCGACTTTTACCCGTACAACTCGGTGAACGCCACGAGGAGACTGAGGGCCGCGCCTCTCGCTCAGTTTTTCCAGGGCTCCACAGTTGGACCGCGTTAAACAGAAAGGAACCAAGCCACGTCAGCTATTGCCAAATTTAACAGGGGAATTTTATTTTTTTACGAGAGAACGTTCGTGCGGATTCCTTTGAAAATTTTAAGGAATTTGCTTTGTATTATGGAGAAAATTCACTAAAATTTGCACTAAAATCCGCACAACTGTTTTCATGTAAAAAATTAAAGTGCCCGATTAAATTTGGCAATAGCTGATGTGGCTTGGTTCCTTTCTGTTAAACTCGGTCCGTTGGCCCACGGCGTCCTTTCCCACGGGAAGATGCATCTCCAAATCTGCTGACCCAAGGAACTTGTAAGCAGACCCGCGGACGCATCTCTCAGGGATCGGCCAGGTCCCTTCACCGAACTCCGCCTGGGTGCGACCTCTGGAGGAGCACCTTCGCGCGCCACCAGGCTGCTGATCTTGATTGTACCTAGATTTTGGGTGGCTCTGGCAGCTCGGGCAGGGGCCATGCGCCATATCATTTCCACTTAACTTTTTGCGTAGAATCCAAATCTGAAGTCAAAACATACCCTTGCTGTTTGAAATTTTCGACTTACGGCCCTCCAAAGCCCCAAAATTTTTGGGGAGTCGTGGACCCCAAAATTTTGGAGCAACAGGGGTCAAATGCCACATGAATAAAAAGGTATTGACCTCTCCTCTCAGAAGATGTTTAGATTTTGGAATTTGGGTAATTTGGCCGCTTGCAGCATCGAATTGAAAATTGCCCCGAGAATGCCCCGCGTCTCCAAAAAATGGGGGTTCAGGGAAAAAGTGCAAAGAGTAAAATGTTCTTATTTTTTGCAGTAGATTCCGAATCCAAAGTCAAAACATACCCTTCCAATTTGAAAATCGCGAAAAACGGGGGGGCTCCCCCCAACCCCCCCCAGGGACCATTTTGGGGGGCTGAAAATATTTTCATTCGATTCTTTGGGGTCAGTTTACCATCGAAAGTTTTTGTCCCGAAGCTCAATTTTCCGCCGTTTTCGAGAAAAAGATAGTGGACGGGTGGTCTGGATCACCCTGGGTATCGTATTTCACGTGTTCTCACACTCTGTCGCGCCGCCGCCACGCCGCGCCGGCCGTCCACCACCATACGTTACAAGAGTGAAAAATGAATGAGTAATTAGAGTAATAATTGTATTAAATGATTAACGTAGTGGTTTCGTACATTTTCCTATTCATAGTATTGGCTTACTGCACTATTCGTCATATTGTTTAGGTATAGTTGGTTGCGGTCACTACCTCCCTTCCGATGGATGGATCCGTAAAAGTCGGGAAATTGAAAAGTTTTGGAGCCGACTTCAAATTGAAGACCGTCTGACTGCTTGGCTTTGTCCAGGTTGTGAAAGGGGGCTGGCGTAGCTGGTTGGCTCAGTCCAGATTGTGATAAAAGGCTGCGATACAGAGGGTTCTGAGGAAGGCTGCGTCAGTACCGTAAAGGCCGGCATTAAGCATCAATTTTGGGCACTGATCTGAGCTGTCTGACTGAAATACCCGCTTCTTGAAGCGTAAACGCAGATATTCTACCGCTGAGTTGTTTGTGCTAGAACGTTGTTATGGGTCAGAGTGATTTATAACTACTAGCGAAAAATAAAGTCTGCATGAGCAGTGATATAGTCGATGTGCTCCAAAAAAAAAAAAAAAAAAAAAAAAAAAAAAATCGCGATCACTTTGTCCCCGTATTTAGATTTATTGGTAAAAATAAATTTGGGTTAGGGTGAGTTTCGAGATTCGGTGAAAATAAAGTTAGAGCAGTGATGTAGTTGATGTGCTCCAATAAAAATGAATTAACCATCACCTTGTTATCCATTTAATTTTTGTACGTAGGGGCGGAGGGCTCCCAAAAGTTACATTGTAATCGGTTTCATATTAAATATCGTTCGCTAATGGTCGATTTTTATCGATTTTCTTTGTTGACGACATATGCGATAAACTCAGTCGTTGCCATTGCCCAGTGAAGTCAACGTGTGAACGTGTCTCTTCTTTATCCTTTTTCGCTTTCTCCGCTTTCCACACCACACTAAGCTTTATAACATGCTCCCCTTAATTATGTTGGCTGCATGTTATGCAGTAAACTATGTCTTGGAATTTTTTGAATCTGAAACGGTTCCCACCCCTTGAATGATTCCTTGAGTGTTGCCCCGATCCGCGGTATGTTGCGGGGTTTCCATGCCGTAAAGGCATTGGTGGCCCGCCAGTTAACACCCAATCTGCGTTCCGTTTGCTCCCTGCACTTGGCCAATCCGGAGGCCAACGGCATTTACTACTT